TAACAAACACATCGATTTGGATGAACTATAAAACATTATGAATAAATGATAATTTTGACTTCATCGTGATTTAGAGTAAATGCCAGAATACAATGAACCTCACGCTTCACCAGGTGATATAAATATCTTCCAAAAAACTGGTTAAAGTGAGTCCGTGCTCCTAAATATTCCCAGGACTCCTTGATGCAGAGCTACCCCTTGCTATTTGAGATGGTAGAGTACCACAGAGACGCCTGCTGCTCCTGTTGAAAGCTCATAATGATACCAAGGGTAACGGTAATGAACTTGTTACGAATGCATATGCTTCATTTGAAGGCACTAAAGAAAGGCGGAAATGATTTATTGACAGAGAAAGGGCAGATATATGGAATTCTTTTTAAAAACTAGACACTGTTCCCAAATTAAGTTGATTAATGACTTACACAACACACTGCCATCATTCATAAGTTGAAAATCATGACAATCTGGTTGGAATGACCTACTATTAGAAACCATTCATAACAGACTGAAGGGAAACACTAGCAAAGTATAATACATGTTTAGGAAAGTAACATGTTAAACGTTAAAGTTAAAGCTCTATGGAAACTGAGGAGACTGATTCTTCTCCAAAAGAAATAGTAATTTATTAATTAAATGTTCAGCTGTCTATTATCGTGTAGTTTTTTCAAAGGTTTTTTAGTTCTAAACACACCGGAACAGCAATTATAAATCCTTCACTTTAGGCTGGGAACCCCCGAGGAGCTATTTGATTCATGTTAGCGATGTTGCTCTAAAACACGTTTAGGATAAACATTATGTTGCTAGGCATCATTAGTGTAAACAGACAATTAAGATTTATGTTTTTGAACTAACTTAACAATACACGACTTTGTTTAAAAGTCTAGAATAAGGATTGAACTTTTATAACCCAGAAACAAAATCATCCATTTTTCAACCTCACGGTGCACACTCCATGGTTCGATTTTGGTCAGGGTTTTCAGCCCACGCCTTCGTTTGATCTTCCTAATTCAGTATTTAGATCAATTACGGAATGTGTGAAATGGGAACACCTTCTCATAAAGCGGCGATATACAACTGCCACAATGAGTAAAGCAACACATAGGTGAATGATAATATCAATCAACGGGGGATCGGGGGATTCGGAACTTCAATAAAGAGGCCGGAGTCAGACACAAGTAAAGCAATTTCGCAGGCTGTATCTTATCAGCCAAATAACAACGACTGCTGTTTACAAATAGAAGTGCAGGATAACTTTTTTCAAATGTTTAGTGGAATTTCTGAAGAACTCCACTTCATTAAATCAGAAGATGTTCTAGTTTCATAGCCTAAAGTGACAGTTAACGTTCGAATCATTAAATCATTGGTTCCCATAGCTTGATCATTTTGCTCCTACACAAACACACGGTCAGCTGAAGGGATCGATGAATATAAGTGTTGAATGCCCTAATCCAATGCTTGGGATCAAGCATCATCCAATATCAAGAAAAATACTAATAATAGTTTTTGTTACACTGCTCGAACTGATGTTGATGTCACTGCAGTCTCCCAACGCAGGGACATGCAATACAATGGATGACATATCCAAACCCTTCGCATTCGTTTGACTTTAAAGATAGCTTTGTCGATACTTTAGAATTAACCTCTACGCTCAGGGTAACATCATCTAGAGGTTGACTGTTTAAATTACATCCCTATAATTAATGAAAACCGACATCGCAATCTAGTAATATATTGCGCGGTTAATAGTCAAAATTATCGACCGCTCTTCAACAAATCGAAATTGAGTATTTCAATTGAGGTACAGAGTTCGGGAGATGTTGTCGAGTGGGGACGTCTTCGAAGACGTTCGATGACAAGTCAACTCGACACGTTGGTGTCGGTTATAATTAGACGTTCGAGCAGTATGACGAAGGTAAGGTGGAACACTGTGTTAGTGTCAATTAAACTTGTCACTGAATATAAACTAATGTAAAACACTAATCAGAATATACACGTAGGCATACTATAATAATATATTCTTTAAATTTAATGTTTCGTGTGAATGATATTAAGGACACTAAGAAGAATGGCTTCCATTGACTAACAGAAACCAAATAAAGAGGATCCTTCTAAACCAATAAGGAGGATCCTTCCATTACCACCATTTGACATAAGCGTTTTCGGTTAAAGTTGCGAAAATGAAATTATCAAGAGGATATTGGCGTGTGGGTAGGTCTAGGCAACCCTGATTCGAGTGCAGGGGTGACAAGATCTCTAAACAGGCGAGGTAAAGGTAAATGGTGAGGCATTACATTTAAATGGCGAGGCAATACATTTAAATAGTGAGGCAATACATTTAAATGGTAAGGCAATACATTTAAATGGCGAGGCAATACATTTAAATAGTGAGGCAATACATTTAAATGGTGAGGCAATACATTTAAATGGTGAGGCAATACATTTAAATGGTGAGGCAATACATTTAAATGGCGAGGCAAAATTTGATTTATAAGCATGATAGTACGTCGTCATTTTTCTTTGACTATTTGTACTGATATTTTCCGTAAAATGTTGGGAGTCTCGCCTGATTCACCCTACACCAATTGAGTTCGGGTTTTAAGATGATACCCCGGATATAAAACATACAGGGACATGTCCTAACGTTACTTCAAAATCATCTTGATTCACTTCATAATGAGTAGTCAGTATATCTGTGTGATCTATTAAGCAGAGGTGTCTGATAGCTGATAGAGCAGAGAGAATCCCTCCCGTTAGATTACTGCAGCCACTACATCAAGCTTATCGGGTATACTATCACGATGCTTGATTTAAGGTGATTTCACGTATGTTTGAACCTGGCTAAACAACGTAATCTGAAGAAATCATGTTTTGTTTGTTTGAGGCTCTGAATAATAAGAAAGTGTTTTGGCTGGTGATAGTGCTGGTGAAGTCAATCCAGTGTGATTCAAACGGACTGAGGCGTACCCGAAGAGAGTTACACTCAGGCTATAACATCCCCGAACGCAGGGGTACACGATCCAGAATTAGATATCGGGAAGAACGAGTATTGTAGCCCTGTGTTCGGTGGATGCGCCTGCAAGTTCTTCAAACTTCTCACAGACATAAGCTGATCAAGTCTCGCCCAACTGTCTTACACCATCAAATACTGATTTCAATTTAGATTCGAACCAACACGTGTTCTTAGCATTTCCCATATTGACATTGACATACCGACCATCATAAACATGATATTTATCTTCCTAATTGAAAAACACATCCCAGTCTGAGAAATAGGCCCCAATAATGACAGTTCACGCCGTAGTTACATAAGATCAGCATCCCAATTTATCATCAATTAATTCAATTAGCATATAACATTACATCGTTATGTACTATGGCATTTTTCAGATAGAAATGTTTTGAGCATCAGCTTTAACATAGAGCTTTATGTATACGTTAAAAATAAGAACAACCGCTTAGTCTACTTTCTGTGTTTTGATTTAATTATATTAATATACTTTACGAACAATAACACTTGAATAACGTTCGATATAAAACACGTCATCGAATTCCGAGGACAAACACGTTCTCAAGAATGGGGAAATTGTGACGGTAAGAAAAACATTTACTTTTAATTCCAAATCAGAAAAGATTGAGGATAAACGCTTGTTGGGGAAGTGGACGTATGGCAATCAAGGAATAGTGTTTTATATAGCTGTTAAGGTAATATAACATCATTTATCTAAATTATAGATCTATATGGATGTATAAATGCATACTTAAATACAATTCACAGACGAATGACACAGTGTAATGTTGATATTATATTATTTAACCATGGTAAATACATTGATTTCCCCTGCCTCATGATCCAACGATATTAGGTGGCACCTGAATGAATCTCGATGGTTATTAGCGGGGATAAAAGACTTCAATAGAAGTATCGGAGAGCAGTGGTCTAAAGCATATTGTGGCAATCGACAAGTTATAATACAATAATTAAGTCGAATGAAATGATTAATATTGCACTTCACGTGTACTTATTTGAAATTAAAGATGCACTTGAAAAGAATTTCAGGTAGACAGCTTCTTTGCCAGCTTTGCTAAGTATTCTGAATCATTTATAGTTAGAAAAGAGCCAAAATATGGTCACTTCACATCATCTGGCTTCCGGCATGAAACAGTGGTTATTAATGCGAACATAAGGTTTGTGTAAAACGAAATATTTTGTATGTTCGGAATGTTTCTGGAATGCCTCGTTAAAACGCTTATGTCAAAATAACAACATTAAATCCAAATTCACTTTTCAAAAATAAAAAATATTCGATTCTCAGAATTACAATTACTACCAGTTGGAATAAGTTCAATTTGACTCCAAATGTGACTGGTAACCATGCACGAGCTTAAATAAAAGACTTGGAGTCTTTTGTGGTAATTATCAATGAACTTATCATAGATCGTGAGACGATGAAATGTGTGACTAAAACAACGAACGTATATGAAGTCATTGTGTGACTGTGAAACAACGAACATACGAAGCCATTGTGTGACTGAATTTGTGACTGGAGTAATGGTGGGAGTACCAATGATCCACACAATGGGAAAGCAAGTGGACATTCTGTGAATAATATCAATCATCAATTGTGGCTTTGTGCAAGTCTTATTGCCAACAATAACACAAGTGAGCCATGTGGGATAAGAAGATTATTGGATTCTAGCAATGGATGGCTATACATTTGCCTACAAAATATGATTATAATAGATAGGACTTTATTTGATTTAATAGATCCTCTATTGTTCTCTTATTGGAAACATCAGTAACTAAAGTGGAAGGAATCCAGAATATTTTTGCAATTGATTATAATTTGTCTCTCACATCGTTGAAGTATAAGTATTATTCAAGAAAAATGTAGTGCAAAAATGTCACCCTTCTGTATCATGGTGTGTTAAAATTATTCATTGATATAATGTCTGGATTAAATATGCATTATCAATAATTCTAAAGTAATACTCGGACTTACCGGTGAACAGTAATAGGACAAGTTCCCGCATCATGTCTCGACAAGGAATCATCTTGGATACGATAACGTCAGTCACTCCTCTCTAATGTCACCTTGAATATTTTCTTGGTATCCAGTAAAATGCCAATATTTCAAGTATTTTGACGACACTGTACCACTCGGCTAGCTGTCCTCCACTGAAGTCACTTGAGGTGTATCTTTGAGGCCAGTTGGTTTTACATGTTGACGTATACCTGCGATCAAGGGTCCAAGGTAAACTGTTAGTTTTCGAGAATGTTAGTTTGGGCAATAGAATGTTTAGAGAGGTCTGTAAGTCATTAGACTGTTTGATTATCCCCACTTATGAGGAACGGTGCTAGGTAAAAATGTGAAGAGTTAGCAATGTGTAACCCACGTGGCACAGTGGAACATCCAATTAACTCCTATATCCTATTTTAAGAAAATCCTAAATCTTAGTTTCCGATTCCAAGATTTTTCTGGATTCAGTTTTCTTTGACGGTTATTAAAGAATCGTTGTTATTGTACTAATCAAGTTTTAGAGTTGGTTTATGAACGCTTATCAATGTAATGATATGCATTAAAGGATTCGTCATCAGGAACAGAGTATTATTGCAATTGGACTATTAATATTAACTTCTCTCAGAGGAAAGATTTGTGAATTCTATTGGGCTTCACGAGTGATAGAATAGCCACAATAGACGCTAAAGATCTTAATCTCCAATCTGTTTCTACTTTTCCAAGAGTTTTCTGCGTACAAACCAGAGCGTCTAAGTCCTGTTAATATATACAGTTCTGCACCGGAATGGTATTCTTCAAAGCGCTATCTGGCAATGTGATGGCATTTGCTGAATCTTTATAACATTCTAAATTCTAGTCAGTTTCCTGTGTTTGACTGGAAGTACTTTTGGTAAATTCCCAGCGTGCATTCAGTTCTTCTTAAACTAGGCCTCGTCCTCGGAATCGTGAGCTAGTTACTCAAAATGTATATTTTCTCGTACTTTTTGCTATTATGCTGTTTGCTGATAGATCTCGCTGATACTTAACGACAACAATCTCTTTATGGGATAAAAAATGACGATCTTTTGGCCTGTAATTTTATATGCTACGCTAAATTACGCTGAGTCCGGAATATACCATTGACGATAGTCAGATATACGATTCCAGTGATCCTGATAAATCCATCAATCTGCGAGTGCGACATAGAATCCTTGGGGCAATCTGAAAATAGAACTATTTATTAGAATAAAACGACGATAAGAACATCATAGTAAACACGGATCAAACAAGAAAATGTTTGAACAAATTAATCCTCACATAATTTGATAATTTATATTCACAGATTATTCCGCTGTTTTCTGGTTAGTAGTTGAGAAATTATAGATACCGACACGCGATCAAATAAAGTTTTCAATTAGCGCACACATCAACGGACATACTCTAGTCAAAGAACAACAACTAGATACATGTATATCGAGTGGTGTATTTATTTCTCTACTTGAATTCTAAGATAAGATAATAGCGTGATCTAGCTACATAAAGTTCAGTGTTAGAGATAGCGAAATTAACATTCTGTCTATCTGGGATATATTATGTAACACTTCATGTTTACCTGTTATTTCAAACTTTTAAATAAATTGCTACGCTGAGAAACATTCTCAAGGAATGCCAAAATATAATCCTTTAAAAGAAACATCAAAATATCATATTGGATTTCAAAGGTAGATTTTTATATAATCACACGGGAGAGCGAATATGTCAAAATATACCATACTTATGTTTTCATTGCTCTATATATTTCCAACAAGGATGTACTTACAAGAATTATTCAGAAAATGACCTTAGATTGGAATTCTTGATTCTGTCTGAGTGGACTCAAATTAAAGCGTTTAAACATGTTGAGCATTTACATCACTAAAATTCTAAGTTGATTGCGGAATAAGATTTCTTTCAAGAACCTTTACTCCAAATGCACTAAGAGGTTTACGTCTGTAAAAATGTAAATGATATAATTGACAAAGACTTTTAACTCATCTTTTAAGTCAACTCTTAATGCTCAGAGCCTCTGAGTGTAGCAACACAACTGTAAGTTTATCAAATGTGGCATTTGGGAATACAGCAAGAGTGTAATATGATGTTATACTATTTGCTTTTTCCTGAGTTAATCATTTTTCAAAGAACTGTATTCTAAATTCCTATGAAGAAATTCACACATCGATTGAGGCAAATGACGAGATATCAAATTTAACTTCTTGTATTGCCACGTTTTTGGCCGTACGCGATATTTTGCTTGTTTTTGTTATGCTTCTCTTCTTATCTGGACACCCATAAATCTACCGAGCATCCGATTTTTGAAGTTCGTTCAACTTAAAGTGTCAAGTACAAGTTCAGCATCAAAAAGATTACTCAAGAAGTGACATATAACGTTTTAAAGCTAACAGGATCTTTTATACTACATGCATCAATATAATATACCTAGACTTAGTTAAGAAAAATGTGTAAACTTACGTTAGAACTTCACAAGGTTCAAGTAAATATCTCCTAGATCTCTCTTCTGAGTCCTGGTGCAAAATCTGCGTGTAGCTGTGAGCTCCATTCTCAGATAAATGATCTTAGATACAGAGGCTGTCTGATCATTGCTCGCTGCAGCAACAATCTACGGCACCCTCTGTAAAATGGCCCATCAGGATTCTGAAGCTGGATTATAGTAGATCGGTATAGAGCGTTTGTATATTCATTTGTTTTCAACCGAAATGCGTTCACTCTCTGTGACATCAACCACAATAGATGAATATTAACGTCACTTGATGCATTGTGAAATTATTAAATGGAAGAACATCAATAATTACTTATTCCATTGGATACTTTTGGATCTCAATGCAATGGGGCCTGATTTTACTCCCGATTTTACTCTCTCTGCTCTGAGTGCATCCTTTAAGATCGGGCTTCACCAGCTATGTAAAGAAGTGAAATACCCCCGGACCAAGGATGCTCTCTGTGTATCTAGGATAATCATAAAACATTTTTGGACAAATTTCTTGGACGAGTCAAGAAGGTATACATGCAGATAACGCATACAAGAATTTCCCAACGCACAATCGTGTAATAAAAATAGATATTTATGACACTGTATAAGTTATGGTGATGAATTGCATGTTTATGATCTGCGAAAACAAATATTTGAAAACAAGCTTATCACGGAAGCGATACTTGAAGTATCATGGTATAAGTAGTTGATAAATTGAGGGAACTGGAACACAATAAAACCGACACGTCACCTATTAGGAGGATTCATAATCGGCTAGGCAATGCAACATTTACAGTGCAAGTGACATTATTGCAAACAATCTTTTGTATTCATCTTTATGAATCGATACTAACCCCAAAGCCAAACATGTTATGTTATTAATCATTTTATTGATGATTTCTATTTAGAATGAGAAGCTACGGAAATCCAAATTGATCCCGAGAATGCCACAAGCTAAATCCACGTGTAATCCCACCTTATATATCATAATTATAATATTTTAGCTGACTAATTAATGTTAATAACCCATTTATTAATATGTTGCTTCTAATTGTATGGAATCTCCATTGATCTTCCGGATTCTCCTACAAGTTCCTATAGATATAGTCAATTCATACACCAGGGTGCGTCACTCGGGTGAGACGAGCGCGCGGCACCATTGATCTGTGATGATCAAGTTGAGATTACAGGCTTCACCTGAATGCGAAAATTACGAAAATACCAAACGTAGATTAAGATCAAGGTGAAAGTATTTAGGAAATACTTTGAAAAATAGGTGGAGATAAGTTTCACATTTTAATCATCTCGCCATACATAAGCACGCCAAGCATGCGGAGAATTAAGAGTAACATTTACAATGAAGTTTAATATGTCCTCGGTCGACATGTCTATATCTCGTAATTGGACTGTCACGATTGATTAATACTAATTCTCTAATTAACTGGATGAGATAAGTCTCCCTGTTGCATCCTTAGCTTTCATAACTCGGAACAACAGTTTTCACAGCTGATGTAACAACTCGCGGATAAAAGAAAAACTAGAAATGATTCCAATGTAAATAAACAATTACGTATTTCAATTCTGAAATAGAGCAAAACAAAATAATCAAGTTATACATCATTTCCATTATTCTGACAATTTGATGCATCGGATAAAAAAATGGTTTAAGGAAAGTCCACGGAATAAAAAATCTCTAAGTTAAGGTATAGGCGTGTATGCATACGTCATTCGCAAAAGTTGACAGACAAGCCCTTTTAAAAGAAAGTAAACATTTTATATTCTAATCCAAGTCATCGACGACAATCTGTTTAATACATTTTCATTTAAATTCATTATTACCATGAATGTGAGCAATCATCGCTTGCTCATCGCCTGGATTGTAAACTATCATATTACGCTGCAGGTAGCGAAAAACAATCAGAATGAACAACTAAAATCCCTGTGGCTGACGCCCCAAGCATACACTTGTAAATTAAATTTCAACTCTATCGCTGAGTTCTGTTCTCCGGGGACCCTAAGTGCTGTGTTCTCTCTTGGAACTGTCTTCGCGCAAGATTACGGCTTTCTAGTTTCTGTATTAGTTCTTCATAGCAGAATGGGGATATCAGTTATTACTTTCTAATTTTACAATACATTCATTATTCATTGTTCCCCACGCGGGTAAGGGATGCATGGGCAGAGAAACATGGGTATCAGAATGGGAACATCAGTTACTATTACCAATATACATTCATTGTTCATTGTTCCCCACGCGGGTAAGGGATGCATGGGCAGAGAAACATGGGTATCAGAACGGGAACATCAGTTACTATTACCAATATACATTCATTGTTCATTGTTCCCCACGCGGGTAAGGATACATGGGCAGAGAAACATGGGTATCAGAATGGGAACATCAGCTACTATTACCAATATACATTCATTGTTCATTGTTCCCCACGCGGGTAAGGATACATGGGCAGAGAAACATGGGTATCAGAACGGGAACATCAGTTACTATTACCAATATACATTCATTGTTCATTGTTCCCCACGGGGAGAAGGGATACGTGGGCAGAGAAACATGGGTATCAGAACGGGAACATCAGTTACTATTACCAATATACATTCATTGTTCATTGTTCCCCACGCGGGTAAGGGATGCATGGGCAGAGAAACATGGGTATCAGAACGGGAACATCAGTTACTATTACCAATATACATTCATTGTTCATTGTTCCCCACGCGGGTAAGGATACATGGGCAGAGAAACATGGGTATCAGAATGGGAACATCAGCTACTATTACCAATATACATTCATTGTTCATTGTTCCCCACGCGGGTAAGGATACATGGGCAGAGAAACATGGGTATCAGAACGGGAACATCAGTTACTATTACCAATATACATTCATTGTTCATTGTTCCCCACGGGGGGAAAGGATACATGGGCAGAGAAACATGGGTATCAGAATGGGAACATCAGTTACTATTTCCAATATACATTCATTGTTCATTGTTCCCCACGGGGGGAAGGGATACATGGGCAGAGAAACATGGGTATCAGAACGGGAACATCAGTTACTATTACCAATATACATTCATTGTTCATTGTTCCCCACGCGGGTAAGGATACATGGGCAGAGAAACATGGGTATCAGAACGGGAACATCAGTTACCATTACCAATATACATTCATTGTTCATTGTTCCCCACGCAGGTAAGGATACATGGGCAGAGAAACATGGGTATCAGAAGGGGAACATCAGTTACTATTACCAATATACATTCATTGTTCATTGTTCCCCACGCGGGTAAGGATACGTGGGCAGAGAAACATGGGTATCAGAACGGGAACATCAGTTACTATTACCAATATGCATTCATTGTTCATTGTTCCCCACGCGGGTAAGTATACATGGGCAGAGAAACATGGGTATCAGAATGGGAACATCAGCTACTATTACCAATAAACATTCATTGTTCATTGTTCCCCACGCGGGGAAGGGATACATGGGCAGAGAAACATGGGTATCAGAACGGGAACATCAGTTACTATTACCAATATACATTCATTGTTCATTGTTCCCCACGGGGAGAAGGGATACATGGGCAGAGAAACATGGGTATCAGAATGGGAACATCAGTTACTATTACCAATATACATTCATTGTTCATTGTTCCCCACGGGGGGAAGGGATACATGGGCAGAGAAACATGGGTATCAGAATGGGAACATCAGTTACTATTTCCAATATACATTCATTGTTCATTGTTCCCCACGCGGGTAAGGATACATGGGCAGAGAAACATGGGTATCAGAATGGGAACATCAGTTACTATTACCAATATACATTCATTGTTCATTGTTCCCCACGGGGGGAAGGGATACATGGGCAGAGAAACATGGGTATCAGAATGGGAACATCAGTTACTATTACCAATATACATTCATTGTTCATTGTTCCCCACGCGGGTAAGGATACATGGGCAGAGAAACATGGGTATCAGAATGGGAACATCAGTTACTATTTCCAATATACATTCATTGTTCATTGTTCCCCACGCGGGTAAGGATACATGGGCAGAGAAACATGGGTATCAGAACGGGAACATCAGTTACTATTACCAATATACATTCATTATTCATTGTTCCCCACGGGGAGAAGGGATACATGGGCAGAGAAACATGGGTATCAGAATGGGAACATCAGTTACTATTACCAATATACATTCATTGTTCATTGTTCCCCACGCGGGTAAGTATACATGGGCAGAGAAACATGGGTATCAGAACGGGAACATCAGTTACTATTACCAATATACATTCATTGTTCATTGTTCCCCACGCGGGTAAGGATACATGGGCAGAGAAACATGGGTATCAGAATGGGAACATCAGTTACTATTACCAATATACATTCATTGTTCATTGTTCCCCACGCGGGTAAGGATACATGGGCAGAGAAACATGGGTATCAGAACGGGAACATCAGTTACTATTTCCAATATACATTCATTGTTCATTGTTCCCCACGCGGGTAAGGATACATGGGCAGAGAAACATGGGTATCAGAATGGGGACATCAGTTACTATTACCAATATACATTCATTATTCATTGTTCCCCACGGGGAGAAGGGATACATGGGCAGAGAAACATGGGTATCAGAATGGGAACATCAGCTACTATTACCAATATACATTCATTGTTCATTGTTCCCCACGCGGGTAAGGATACGTGGGCAGAGAAACATGGGTATCAGAACGGGAACATCAGTTACTATTTCCAATATACATTCATTGTTCATTGTTCCCCACGCGGGTAAGTATACATGGGCAGAGAAACATGGGTATCAGAATGGGAACATCAGTTACTATTACCAATATACATTCATTGTTCATTGTTCCCCACGGGGGGAAGGGATACATGGGCAGAGAAACATGGGTATCAGAATGGGGACATCAGCTACTATTACCAATATACATTCATTGTTCATTGTTCCCCACGGGGAGAAGGGATACATCGGCAGAGAAACATGGGTATCAGAATGGGAACATCAGCTACTATTACCAATAAACATTCAATGTTCATTGTTCCCCACGGGGAGAAGGGATACATGGGCAGAGAAACATGGGTATCAGAATGGGGAC